CCACCCACTGCAGGAGGGCAACACCCTGCCTGGCGAGGGCTCAGGAGCCGCCCATCCCCTGGTTGAGCTTCCACCTGATGGGGGGACCCGGAGAGAAAATGGCAGGAGCTGCATCGGGTCCCTCGCCCCTGGAGTGGGCCAAGGGTAGTCCAGACTGCTCAGGTTGGCCTCCCAGCTGCAAAGGGGTGCAACGGGGGCAAGGGCACGGCCAGGGGGATTTGCCCCAGAAGGACACCAAGACCAAGAGCCATGTAGAAATGCACTCTTGACATCTAGGTGGTTGATTTGCATCTTTCTGGAGGCTGCTACACTCGAAGCCTTCTTATGGTGCTGTGTCTGACAACTGGAGCAAAAGTTTCATCATAGTCTTCTCCATACTTCTGAAGAAATCCTTTGGCAACTCATCTTGCTTTGTAGCGTTCCGCTTCTCCATCTGCTCCCTTTTTCTCTCTGAATGCCCATTTGCATCCAATTGCTTTCTTGCCTGGTGGCAGCCTTGTCAGCGTCCATGTTTCATTCTTATGTAAGGTTTCTATCCCCTTTTGCAGCTTGTCTCCATTTGGCGCCCTCTAGTGTTGCCATTAGTTCAACCCCAGGTTGCTGGTTCATCTGTCTGCAAGGTAGGACAGGTGAGGGGCCATCACACCTATGTTGGATCGTGATGAACTTCTGACTTCTGGAACCTCTGGTGGCATGGTGCCACCTTGGTTCTACAGCGTTGCCTATTGCTCCATCTGTATCCCCTTCTTTTGGCGTATTTATTTATTTATTTATTTATTTGTATTTATACCCCGCCTATCTAGTCATTTCGACCACTCTAAGCGGCTTCCCTGCCCTTTTCCTCAGGGCTTTGGTATTGATCTCATCCTGTGCCTCATCCTTATCCTCCACTTCCTTTGGTGTTGTGAGGGTACTGGCATAAGTACAGTGGTGCCTCGCTTAATGAGCGCACCGTTTAATGACGAATCCGCATAGCGACCTGTTTTTTGCGGTCGCTAATCCGATCACATTGCGATGTTTAGATAAGCTAAACATCGCATTGCGATCATTTCTGCACCCGGCGGCCATTTTGGGAACAGCTGATGAGTAATGTAGGAAGCAGCTAGGACAGAACTTGTACATAAATTAATAGCAGGGAGACAGGTTGCCCTAAGAGCCAGAATGCCATTCATCATGGGCCGAAAGGGCCCGAAATGACTAGGCACAATTCAAAACTAACAAGTTGAACAATAGTATATACTTTGGAATGAGACTACCCTTCCAACACTCTTCCAGCTCCTGACTGGGGAAGGTTGCTAAAGATCACAGCACATAACAATACACTCTAATGTTTGCACTGACATTCAGTGCAATAATTCATGTCAAAAGTAGTTTGACCACCAGTCACCTATGTGCACCTGCAAATCTAACGATAACTCTTAGAGTTATGTCTTAGAATTGGAGTCATCCCCTACCCCATGCTATGTTTGCTAAGGCTTACGGAAATATGCCATCAATTCTCTGACCAGGATGAAACATTCTTTTAAAAGCAGACATCAGAAATCTATGCCTTTTCTTCTTGGGAATGTAAGAGTATGCAATGCTCCCAAAGACTCTAATGTGTGAAATGTTCAGGATTCTACCATGCCAAATTTCAAAGGGCGTTTTTGTGGTGCCTTTTGTTGGCAATCTGTTCTGTAGATATGTTGCTGTCATGACTGCATTTCCCCAAAGCTTGTTGGTTAGTTCTGCACCTGCAAGCATGCATCTAGTCATCTCTAGAAGAGACCTTAGTTTTCTCTCAGCTATTCCATTTTGTTCTGGTGTGTATGGATGGAACAGTCCTTCTGTGTAGAATACCTTGTTAATCAAAGAATGTCTGTGTGTGGCTTGAAATGTACTCACCACCGTTGTCTGATTGAAACGCCTGAGGTTTTCTTTCAAATTTGTTCTTCACCTTGGCCACATATTTCCTCAGAAGGTTGTGGATCTCACTCTTGTCCTTCAGTAGGTAGGTGACATAATACTTTGAAAAATTATCCACAAAAATTAGAATATATCTGTTGCCTCCCATTGATGGCACATTAATTGGCCTACAAAGGTCAGTGTGAATTAATTCTAACACCTTTATGCTTCTTTTTTCAGTATTTGAGTAAAATGAGGGTCTGACCCCTTTTTCTGTAAGGCAATTTACGCACCTGGCTGTCTTGTTTGTGTCATGTGGCTTTACCTCAATACCTTTGACTAGGTTCTTATTGTGCAGTTCCAGGATCACGTTCATATCTCTATGTGCAAATCTGTGATGCCACAGGTCCAGGCTGTTCACCTCTTCTTGCACCGTCTGTGCTGTGTTGATTTGCACCCCTTCATCTAAGAGACTGGCTTTATAGACGCCATTAGATTCCTAACCTTCCAAACATATCTCATTGTCCTTTTCAACTATGCATTTTTCACCATCAAAATGTAAATTAAAACCCTTTTTTCCAAGAGCTGACACACTTAGCATGTTGCATTCCAGCTTTGGTACACACAACACTTCTTTCACAGTATTTTCATAGATTGCATTTGGCACTGGACACAGCAAAGTCCCAGATCCCTTGCCTTGGATCTCTACACAGTTCCCAATCAACAACTTTGATCTCTCCAGTGGTATAGTTTTTAAAAATGTTTTTACATCAGTTGCGTGCTGTGTAGAGCCACTGTTGATTATCCATGAGCCTCTATAGTTCTGGCAGTTTAATATAACCTCATAAGCCATAAATGAGCCCTGTTTGGCTTTCTTTTATCCCTCTTGTAACTAGGAGCCGCATTCTGACTTTCCGGAGTCCTTTGTTCAGATTGGCAAGAGCTCCTGTCGGCTGAAGGCTCTCTCTTGGGTGTAACAGTCCCTTGATTTATACCAGTTTCCCACAAAACCAGCAACTGTTACGTGATTGGGCATGAGGTGGAGCTTTTCTATGGCGCCTGCTTTGAAACAAGTAATTTGATCTCTCCCCTCCCCTCCCCTCCCCTCCCAACCTGCAGGCTCACGACCTGCCAGGCTTTTTGTTTGTTTGTTTGTTTGTATGCCAAATGCCCAGGGGAGGGGAAGCGCCCCCCCATCCCCTCCCCACACCCGGGCGCCGTCCGCCTGCCACGCCGCCCCCTTGCCCGGCCCTGCCGAGCTCTGCTTTGCTCAGCACCTGGGGAGGGCCCTGGGCCCGCCCCCCCCCCCCGCA